TGATCTTGGCTCACTGCAACCTCTGCCCCCTGGACCCAAACGATTCCTGTCTCAGCCTCCCAAGTAGCTGGAACTACAGGCATGTGCCACCACACTCGACTAATTTTTGCATTTTTAGTAGAGACAGGGTTTCACCATGTTGGCCAGGATGGTCTCGATCACCTGACCTCGTGATCCGCCACCATGCCCGGCCCACTGCTGCCCTTTTTTAGGTCCTCTGTGCAAGGCACATACCTTAAAATGATTTACAATGGCCCTGACGGCCCTTAACCCCACCCAAACTGCTCATCAGCACCTTTGCCCAAACAGATGTCCCAAGAATGGGAGGTGTATGTTCTCCTGATGAGAAAAGTTGGACTTTCTCCTAATCTTAACCATGAATCTCTACACAATCAGCAGTTCTGACAGTCCTGAGGTTGACAAAGACCAGGAAGTTAAGTAATGGTGACTGAAGCTCCCGCAGCCTGCAGTGTAGAAATAAATGCGCCTGTACCCAGCCCCACCCTGCCATGTCTCAATACAACCAGAGTGGTGCCCCGCGTGCATTCTGTCTGCAGCCCCAGTTTTTAAATCCTGCAATATTGAGAACCTTTGAAATTTAATAAAAGGCTAAACGGGCACATCCAGCTGCAAAAAACAAGATTGACAAGATCAAATTTTGTGTCACCTGTGAAAAACACCTGGCCAGTTGTAGTTTGCTGTACCAGTGCTGGGAGGCACACTTGGGACTGATACACTCTTGTTGAATTTCTCGAAGAAGGCATATCATTGTTGCAGTTCCAAGCATGTAAGGCATCCAGAGCGGCAGTGAGGGGTAGCTTCTAGCACCCAATTGTTTGCTCAATGTAGAATGCTTTGGTGGTAAAAGGACGTCATTTAATTTCATGTTGCAGTTAGGAAAGCCAAAAATCAGGGTGGTGGCCTGCCCAGAATCACACAATGAGTCAGGGCTGAGCTGAAGCCACAGCCTGCAGACCACTTCTCTGTATTCACCCTGTCATTCATTCACGCATACAATGGCTTACTGAGCACCCACTATGCCGCAAGCACTGTGCTAGGTGCCGGGGACACAGATGATGATACAGACAAAGTCCCTGCCATTGTGGCATTTGAGACAGGAAATGCACAAGTATACAAATAAGCAAAACAAGGACAGAACCCGACAGAGGGGTCAGGTGAAGGCCGCAGGGAGAAGCGACAATGAAGCTGCCGCTTCATGAGATGAGATGAGATGAGACGAGACGAGACGAGACGAGAGGAGATGAGATGAGACGAGACGAGACGAGACGAGATGAGACGAGACGAGACCAGAAAGCCAGAGATGGAAAAACCAAGTGGAGGGTATTTCCAGCTGAAGGAACTGTGAGGACAAAGGCATGTCTGAGCAGCAGTGAGCAGTCTGGGTCGGCTGGTGTGTGGTAAGTGACACTGGGAGTGGACCGAGTGACAAGCGGGAAGGCAGACAAGAGGCAGATCATGGAAGCCTCAGCAGAGAGTTCGAATTTACTCTGAATGCAGTGGGAGGCCACTGAAGGGTCCAAGCGAGATGGAGAGGTGCTCTGATTTTGAATTCTAGGAGAGGCATCAGCTTCTGAGACACTACTAGCATTTCCCCTTTCTCACTGCTGGTGCCTCGTGGTGACCCTCCTCGCCATCTGGCTTCAGCACTGCAACGGAGGATGCCCACTCCTGTGTCCCCCGCATGACGATGGGACCTTGCCTGCCTGTTATGAACTGAATATGTGCCCTCCAAGTTCATATAGTTCATATATCAAAATCCTAACGAAAAAGGTGAGGCCTTTAAGAGATAATTAGGCCATGAGGGTAGAGATCCCTGAGCACTCTCTAGCCCTCGTTCTGCCATGTGTGAGACTAGAACAAGAAGGCAACCATCTGCAAACCAGGAATCAAGCCCTCCCCAGACACTGAATCTGTTAACATGTTGATCTCGGCCTTCCCAGCCTCCAAAACTGTAAGAAAGAGATGTCTGTTGTTTAGGCCACCCAGTCTGCGGTGTGTTGCTACAGCAGCCCAAGCTAAGACACTGCCCATCTCCTCTGCCTCCACCACAGAGACCTCTGGCTGCAGAGAAAAAGCAACATCCAACAGGTGGCCATGCGTGGCATCTTCTGGTCACTCTGGTTCAGCTGGGTCCTACCTATGTGGGCCAGGCCCCTCTCCATCAGGGGGTTTCCAAGAAACGTCTCCTTTCCCCATAAGAGGAAGCAGCGGCAACCACACAGTTTCCCCCTGTGGTTGCCTTTTGCAGCGTGAGAGGCTCACAGGGCTGCAGAGAAGGGCTTAGATTCCACTCTGGTGTCTCGCAGATTCCAGGCCTGGGCAGCGAGTAGGCAAGAAAACTGGAACGTTACGGGGCACAACCCGGGGAGGAGTGGGCGCAGGGCATTCCAGCCTCACTGTACACAGGGAGCCACACCACCAGGCCCTCTGCTGGGCAGGGGGAGACGGAGATGACTGAGGTATGGCCCCTGCACTTACGGGGTGCCCCAGCTAGCAGGCCAGAGGCACAGCATTCATGGCACTCCTCATGAGCTCCGCCCAGAGACAGACCTTTGCAGATGTGGAGGTTCTTAATGACAGTGATGGCACTGCAGAGAGGTGGGATTGCAGGGCATGTCAATAAGCAAGGTCAATAGGTAATCAGGGACATTATAGAGCCTCCAATGAAAAAGACAAGTGATAACGGTTTTAGAATAATAAGAACTGCCAACACTTGTACAGCACAGAACAGTGTTGTTCTAAGTGTTTGGCTCATCTGAACTCCTCTTGAGGTTCACAAGCCTATGAGATTGTTGCAGAAGCAAATACAGGAGAAATCTCCATGCCCTCCAAGGATGACACTGGCTCAAGGCAGAATGCTTTGGTACTAGGAGGGCTTCATTAAATTTCATGTTGCAATTAGGAAAGTCGAAATTCAACCATATCAAAGGACTAATATGGTTCTTTAAAGTTGGCAACTTCTATTCATCACAAAACTCCATTAAGAGAGTACAAAATACAAACTGCAGGATGGAAAAAGATATTGAGAAGCCCATAAACCCAAATGAATACATAAAGAACACCTACAAACCATTAAAAATAATCCAGTCAATAATGAGCAATGGCCTTGAACATACACTTCACTGGAGAAGGTATAAGGATGGCAAATAAGCCCATGAAAAGATGCTCAACATCATTAGTCCTTAGGGAAATGCAACTTAAAACCATGATGAGAGACCACTGCACATTAATGCGGTGGTACACTGAAAAACACTGACCAGGCCAGGCACAGTGGCTCACATTGGTAATCTCAGTGCTTTGGGAGCCCAAGGCAGAGGATTGCTTGAGGTCAGGAGTTCAAGACCAGCCTGGGCAACATAGTGGCCATAATGGTCTATCTCTACAAAAAAAATTTATTAGCCAAGCATGGTGACATACCTGTAGTCTTAGCTACTCAGGAGGCCGAGGTGGGAGGATCATTTGAGGCCAGGAGTTCTAGGTTGCAGTCAGCTATGATGGTACCACTGCACTCCAGCCTGGGTGATAGAGTAAGACCCCGTCTCTAAGATAATAAGAATAATGACCACATCAAGTGTAGGTGAGAAGGTGGAGCACCCGGAATTCTCATACACTGTTGGTGAGAATACAAAATGGCACAGTCACTCTGGAAAATATTTGGCGTAATCTAGCATAGTTGAAGCTATCCATACTCTGAGACCCAGCAATTTCACCTCAGATAAGTACATGGACTTGGAGAAATGTGTAAGAATATCATCAGGGGCATTGATCATGATGGCCATCCTAGGGACACCCCAAGTGTGCATCAAAAGACAATAACAACAAAAAAAGATAAATGGCAATGTATTTAAATAATGTAGCAACAGAAAACCAAACACCGCATGCTCTCACTCAGAAGTGGGAGTTGAACAATGAGAACACATGGACACAGGGAGGGGAACATCACACACTGGGGCCTGCCGGGGGATGGGGACCAAGGGGAAAGAGAGCATTAGGACAAATACCTAATGCATGCAGGGCTTAAAACCTAGATGACGGGTTGATGGGTGCAGCAAACCACCATGGCACATATATACCTATGTAACAAACCTGCACGTTCTACACTCATATCCCAGAACTTAAAGTAAAATAAATAATAATAATAATGTAGCAACACAACAATGGAAATGAAAAAACTAGCTACCCAGAAATGCATCAGTGAATCTTAAACACATAAATGTTGCTTGAAAGAAGCAAGGCACTGGAGAATACACACAGTATGCTTGGCTCAATTTATATAAGATTCACAAATGAGTAAAATGAAACTGAATTGTTTGAGGATCTCATAGGTGGTAAATTTCTAAGGAAAAGCAAAGTAGTAACCCCCATCTGAATCAGGACTGTGACTACCTCTCATGGAGGGGAAGGGAATCGTGGCTCAGAAAAAAACATGTGGTAAACTTCTGGGAGAGCCAGCAAAGTTCTTTTTTTTTTCTTTTTTTTTGTCTGATTTCCTCTCTTGCTGTCAAGGCCACAAAGATGGGTGGCCATGAATCACACCACTGCCCTGGGGTTTCGCTTCCCTGGTACTTTCTGTTGGTGGTGATGGATACAGCTTTGCTCAGAGAAAAGGCGCCAGATGGAACTGTAATTCCACCCCACTGCTCTTCTATGTCAGTCACTGGCTCTGTGTCCCACCAGCTCTGTGACCCAAGCCTCGGTTTTCCCATCTGTTCAAGGGGCATGACGGTCCCCATCATGCTTAGCTCATAGAGTAGAATAATGAACGTGAAAGGGCTCTGAGAGCTAATGCCTGAATGCCAGAGATCAACGGGGATTTGAAGGACAGCCAGACTGCTGCAAGGCTGCAGGGAGAGTGAGGCTGAGTTAGATCCCACAGGGCTGGCCCTGCACTGCCTTGCCGTTCCCTGCGCTACCCGGAAGAAGAGGTGGCAGGTTGTCAGTTGAGTTCAATATACCATGTTTCACCAGCCAATGGGCTGGGGCGATCAGGAGCAGGTCACACAGCCTGTTTCCTGTTTTCAAACGGGGAACTTAGAAAGTGTCAGTCCCTCGGCTGGTCGCGGGAGCTGAGAACCAAGAGCTCGAAGGGGCCATGTGATACTCCTCCTGGACCCCTGGACACGCACAGCCCCAGAGACTGGAGGTCAGTATTTGATCCCAAACTCAGCTGTCCTCTGCCTGCTGTGACCTGAGTCCCCTCCTCCTGGGACCCTGCCTGGCACCTGTTGGGGGCAGGGTGGGAGGGGAAAGGATTAGTGACAGCCACTGTGTCTGGAGCTCTCCTTAGCGCAGTGAGGCAGAGGAAGGGACAGCTCCTGGACCCTCCATCACCTCCATTCCTTTTGAGATGCTAGGCGCTTGTACAACCCATCTTGGGCCTGGAGAATAAGTCATCACACCCGTGTTTCTCAAAAAAAAAAAAAAAAAAAACGGTGTCAGGGAATCCCTGCGTCAGCATTGCTTTAGGGGACTCGTGGAAAATACAGAATCCAGGTCTGTTCAATGACACTTTCCTATGTTAGGAGCCAGGAAACCTGCTTTTGAACAAGCCCCTGGGATCCCACCCCCACCCCACCAGGGGATTCTTACGCACACTGGGTTGGGAGCCCCTGGCTTTGGCAAGGCTTCTCAGGTGAGCGTCCAGTTGTTGGAGGGTACCCACCCTTTCCCCAACAGAGGCAGCCACACATCCAGCGTCCGGGGATCTCCTGACTCCCAGAGTGGGCCAGGAGCTTTATTTCACCCCCTAGAGGCTCGTCCCCCATGAAAAGTCCTCTGCAGGCCTTCAGAAAGATGGTGTGGCCTCTGTGTGCCCAGCAGAAGGACTGGACTTGGCAGTCAGCTTTTGGAGAGGGGGGTGGTCAGGACACCTGGGGACAGGAGGAGGAGAATGACTGTCTATGCACACAGAGCGGGAAGGTAGAGGGGACTGGGAAGCTGCTCTGTTCCCTGGGCCAACTACAGGCCTCCAGGCCAACATCACCAACATTTATAGTATTTTGTTATAAAGTCAAGAAATCTTTGCTATAGACAGTGAGGAGAGGGGAGGAAAGGGCCATGGAATCGTCTATGTGGCTGTCCCCAGAGAGCTTTTAGAGCGACAGGATTGCTTTCCCATTTCACAGATGAGGACACTGAGGCCTGGAGAGGGATAGGAAGCTACCCAAGACCCCACGGATACACCAGTGCACAACTCTTTCCTCCCCCTTCCTCTTTAAATGGGTGATTCCCAATGAAACCTGTAAGAGACAACTATAAGGGAGCTGACTGTGGCTGCTGAATTTGATTTTTATTCTAAGGCCTGGTTTCATAATCAGCTTTCTCAGTCTTTTCTGGAGTGTCAAGCTGAGGCATCATTTCTAGGGTCTTACAGAGTCTCTGGGCCAATAGTGCCCTGCTTCTCATCTGGAGCCAGCTGCCTGGTCATGCAAACAGGTCTGCAAAGGTTGGGGCCCCTGAGGCCAAGGGCACTCACCATCACCCACTTTACAGAAGTGCTGAGCATAAGAGTGCCCTGGGCCCCCAAGAATCCCAGCCACCAAGAATCACATAGACCACCCGCTGTCTCACTTAGACACCTACCAGAATGTAGGAAACCCATCCCTAGTCATCCATCATCTTATCAACAGGATGAGGCTTGTAGCCACACTTTTCAGGTGGGGAAACAGAAGCCTAGAGATATTAAAGCACTTGCTTAAGGACACACAGTTGGTCAGGATGGAAGGCAATGTCTCCTGACTCCCTGACAGGGACAAGAGACAAGCGAGAGGTGCCCGTGACGGCATGCTCAAGAATGTGCAGCCCTGGGCCAGCCAGGCCCCTGTTCTGTGTCTCTGTTTGCCCATCTGTAAAAGGTGAGGTTGGATCAAGGGTCCCTAAGGGCCTCCCACTGGACGGCTATGCAGAGCCACATGGAGAAGGCCCCAGGGTTCCTTTCACCCTACACAGCAAGCACTTCCCCATGAAGTGCAGACTCTGGGCCCCAGCTGACCTTCCCTCTCCCAGGCCAGGAGCTCTCATCCCTGGAGCAAGGGACAGGCGCTGGCTGTGCTCAGGGACATGCATGACCTCCACCCCCGTCTGTGCTCAGGGGGTGCCAGGGAGGCATTGGCTCTATCTTTCTCTAGGCCGTAGTCGGCCCAGGGGTTCAGATCAAGGGCACAGAATCCAACGGACCAGAGTTCAAGTCCCAGCTCTACCTCTGTGTTCCACCAGCAGCTTCCTCAGGTCCTAGTAGAAAAAGGTGAGGTCACTTGCACCTTCCTTGTCTTGAATTTCCATGCCTAACCAGTATACCAGCTACTCGCTCCAGCCTAGCTTTAATTGTCCCTTTTTCTAAGTTGTCTCAAACATTTGTAATTCTATTCCAATCCACCTTAATTTAGTCATTTAATTCGCAAATACTTCTGGAAACATCTAGCACTTACCAGACACTAAGAGCGGGGGTACTACACAGTCTCCGGAATGGACAGGGCCCTGAACTGAGGCTTCAGAGTCTGCCTGACTGACTCCTCACCCCAGCCTTGCGAACATGGGTTCTGTTATTATCCCCAATTTACAGGAAACAGAAGCACAGAGAAGTTGAGTCACTTGCCAGCTACCAGGTCATCCCATCCACTTATCCAGGTCACAGACGGAGTTATTATGTAAACCAGATCCCAGCTGCCTGTTCTCCCTCCCTGAGTAACGTGGAGAGAATTCTGAAGTCAGCCCAGCCTGGGTCTGTATCCTGCCCACCACTCACCAGCTCTTTACCTTCGGCAACGCTAAGTCTCAGTTCCCTTATCATAAAAGGGAGCAGCAAACAGTCCTGAGTGCAGACAGTGGTCAGGTTAGCGTGAGAGTGTGTGTTGGGTGTCAAGCGCACCGCCAGCACATCACAAGCACTGGAGACAAACTCAGCTTTGCTTGTTGCGCACACTCACCAGCTGCGTGACTTTGGGCTGGACCTCAGTTTTCTCATCTGTTATGTGGTGGTAATGATAGACTTTTGTGAGCATTAAACTAGATTAGGGGCTGTGAAGAACCTAGGTGGGTATGAAGTGGGTATAAGCTATCAGTTAATTTTGCTGATAGATAGATAATTGATTGATTGATTGATTGATAGAAGATTCATACCAGTATCTACCTGCTCTGAACACTGAGCTTTCTTTTTTTTCTTTTTGAGATGGTCTTGTTCTGTCATCCAGACTGGAGTGCAGTGGCGTCATCATAGCTCACTGCAGCCTCAGTCTCTTGGGTTTAAGGGATCCTCCTGTCTCAGCCTCCCAAGTAGCTAGGGCCACAGGCATGCATCCTGGATAATTTTTGTTAATTTTTTCTAGAGACGGGGTCTCACTACATTGCCCAGGCTGGTCTCAAATTCCTGGGCTCAAGTGATCCTCCTAACTCAGCCTCCCAAAGTGCTGGGATTACAGGCATGAGCCACCGTGTTCAGCTTGAACACTGAGACTTCATTCGCATGTGTAACATAAAAGTGAGTGTCTGCACAAGCCAGCATCTTTCGCTCGAGTAATCACTAAAGCCAATACTTTTGCTTGAAATCATCTCATTTAAAACTCTGAGCAATACGTAAGGATCACCTCAATTACACATGGATCATCACAATAGGTGAAGGGTCTTCTCTGCCTTGGAGTAACCTGCCCAGCAAAGGGGCAGACCCAGGTCTGGGATCTGGCAGCTGGGAGAGTGGGGAAGGTTGAGCCGTGGGGCCATTGTCATTCCCTCTGACTGCCAGGAGGGGGCATGACACAGCTCCTAGGCACCCCAGGAGACACCGGGAACCCCAGCTGGAGTGGGTACTCACTGTTCTCTTGTTCCTCTGGCAGGCTTGGAGCATGGCAAGTCCAGAGCACCCTGGGAGCCCTGGCTGGAAGGGACCCATAACACAGTGCACAGCAAGGACCCAGCAGGAAGCACCAGCCGCTGGCCCTGACCTCCCGCACCCAGGACCTGACAGGCATTTAGGTGGGCTTGAGGCTTGAGACTTGGTCTGGGGGAGAGGTCTGAAGGCATTCAAAGTACAAATGTGGGTCACTTTGGCGGATATAGCAAGAGGCCCGGGCAGCTCTTGTAACTTGGGTTATCCCAAAGCAGACACTGAGACACAGACTTGGTGCAAGCTGTTTATCTGGGAGATGGTCCTAGGAGTCACGGCAGGGGAATGGGAATGGCAGAAAAGGGCAAGAGGCCAGGGCAGGACATCAGTGAACAGATAGGCATGATAAGTGGCTGAGGCTCAACCCTAGCGGGGGTCTTCTGGGAGACCTTGGAATATATCTCTGGGTTGTGCTATCCTGGGGTGAGGAAGCCGGGCTGTTATCTACCAGTCCTGCCCTGCAGAGGAGAAGGGACGCTCCTGGGCCTGCTGCTATGGCCCTAGAAAGCCCTCAGGGAAGCCAGTGGCATGTTCTGGAAAAGTGGGTGCCAAGAGGGCATGGTCCAGCCTGGGGCATGGACAGCATCTGCTGTAGTGCCATCTCCTGGAACAAATCTTTTCTTACAATCCTTCAAGATGCCCCTACTCAATACCTGCTCTGTTCCTGGCCCTATGCAGGGCACTGGGGAAACAGAAACAGGAACAAATCAAACACTGCACTAGTCCTGAGGTTTGGTAGAGAAACAGATCAGTGAAAAATAGATGTGCCATGAAAAACAAATAAATAAAATAAAAAACTATAGGAACAAGGTGGGAGGCTCTTACTCTAATGCCAAGGGGCATGTGCAGTGATGTGGGGGCTTGGTCTTGAAGGGTAGACTGGAAAAGAGCTGGGAACCATGCCCTTTGCGATAAAATGCACAATTATTTGCGCTTCTCAAGAAGCTCAGAGGGGCGCAGGGCTCAAGTGGGGTTTAAGAAACACTGTGTTCGTTTTCCAGGCATGGAAATAGAGGGTTGGATGCCAGGCAGAGGAGTGCACATCCGAGAAGAGCCTAGCATGTAAGCAGTTAGATGAGAAGGTTAGGAAGGGCCAGCCCGCTGACGCTGGAACATAACATCCTTATTGCTGCCTCCCCTGCCCACTGATGTGTGCTCAAGGAGTCCTGGCGACAGTCACAAAGTCAGGGCTGCAGGGAGCACGGAAACACACAAGTCAGTCTCTGCTTGTCCAGAGCGGGGATTTCACCATGGCCAATCTGCAGACCAGAAGTGGACGATGCAAAATGCCCACACCACATTCCACAGCTAAGAAACCACTTGGGGGTGATGGGCTATTTGAGATTGTCAGTGGTAGGGTGGATTCTGCCAGGCTGGGCACAGAGGTCTGTCTGATGCCCCAATTGGGCCTATCAATGGTGGAGTGGGAGAGAGGGATATTCAGTACTCTTTAGGAGTTCTGATATCCCATCTCAGATAGACCCAGCCATCTCCCCAAGCCATGCCTCGAAAGTGCACTGAGAGGGTGCAGATCCTTAAGGGTGTTGTCCTTCCAGACATGCATAGTGGCCTGAGCTCCAACTCCAGCATGACCACGCGGGAGCTCCAGCAGTACTGGCAGAACGAGAAATGCCGCTGGAAGCACGTCAAACTGCTCTTTGAGATCGCCTCAGCTCGCATCGAGGAGAGAAAAGTCTCTAAGTTTGTGGTAAGCAGAGATCGGGAAATGGTGGAGCCTCTTTCACTCTGCTTCCTTCCCGGCCCTGAATAAGTCTTGTGGGGCCTCAGGTTTCCCAACTATGAAATGGGTCAGCACACTTCAGGCTCAGCACCTGCTAGGGTCTGTGAGGATTCGAACCATGGAAGTCATGCTTCTTGGTCCCAAGAAGGAAATAGCCCAGTTTAATCCCATCTTATCGGGTGTCGGTCACCTGTGTCCTTTCTTCACCAATTTTGCCATATCCCTGTATCCATTATAATTATTACTACTTATTTTTTCTTTAAATTGGATCGCTTTTTAAAAACACAAAGTACATTTATTTCAAAGAGAAATACCTTAAATGGAAAACCAATATCACATGGCACAAAGAAAAAGTAACATACTAGAAATGTCGAAACAAGGAAAATCAATACAAGGAAAGCTATGCGCTGTTATTAAATTCTAGCTGGGTACTGTGACTTCAGGAAAGCCCTGCGCCTGGGGATTGCTCTCCCTGTTAGACTGGAATTTTAGCTTGTGTTAAGGAGATGTTAAAGACTGCCTAAGAGCCACACTTCATCCTTCTCCTTCACTTATCTGGGACCAGGATAAATAACGAAGCTGCCACTGAATGCCAATGGCATGCTGGGCACAGCTCCATGTGGTTTCAGTGCATTAACTCATTTAATCCTCACCGGGTGAGGTAGGCACTATGCCTCTCCTTGTTTTATGAATGAGAAAAGTGAGACTCGGAGAGGTTAAATTACTCATCTAAAACAACACAGCTAGACCATGGTGGGACTGTAATTATAACCCATGCAATCTGGCTCTGGAGTCAGATGCATGGGTTATAATTGCCCTTAATATATAATTGCCTGTAATCAGGATTCTCTTGAAAGAGAATTGAAAAGGGATGATTTTCTTACCATATAACGGCATCACCAGTGTACCTAAATGATGTTATATTGTACCTGAAACTAGCTCCCAAATGTGAAACATTTGGAAAACACAGCATCTCAGTTCAGAAAAAGGAGGCCCAGTTTTAGCAAGTAAAGCCAAGAGGGACCCCAGCAGCCTGCAGAGCAGGACCCTCTGCCCTTTTTCCTCCCAGATGTCCCCACTTTGCTGTGTTGTTGTTCCAAGGTTGACTCAGCTGATGTCAATAGTAATTTAAAACACAGTGGCTCAGGCCTGTAATCCCAGCACTTTGGGAAGCCCAGGTAGGAGGATCGCTTGAGCTCAGGAGTTCAAGACCAGCCTGGGCAACACAGCCAGACCCCATCTCTAAAAAATAAAAAAAACAAAATCAGCCGGGTAGTGGGTGTGCCTGTAGTCCCAGCTACTCAGGAGGCTGAGGTGGGCGGGTCACTTGAGCCCAGAAGCTCAAGGTTGCAGTGAGGTATGATCGCATCACTGTACTCCAGCCTGGGTAACAGTGCGAGACCCTGTCTCTAAAATTTAATTAATTAGTTAATTAATAAACAGAATTGCATATAAGGATCGCCCGTTTTCAGGGCATGCTTTACACCGGCCTGGTTAACTTTACTCTCGGGGTACTGCGTCCACCGCAGCCCCCGCCAGGAGGTGGCCACGGCTCTCTCTGGTTGTGCCCTAGGTGTACCAAATCATCGTCATCCAGACTGGGAGCTTTGACAACAACAAGGCCGTCCTGGAACGGCGCTATTCCGACTTCGCAAAGCTCCAGAAAGCGCTGCTGAAGACGTTCAGGGAGGAGATCGAAGACGTGGAGTTCCCCAGGAAGCACCTGACGGGGAACTTCGCGGAGGAGATGATCTGCGAGCGTCGGCGCGCCCTGCAGGAGTACCTGGGCCTGCTCTACGCCATCCGCTGCGTGCGCCGCTCCCGGGAGTTCCTGGACTTCCTCACGAGGCAGGAGCTGCGCGAGGCGTTCGGCTGCCTGCGGGCCGGCCAGTACCCGCGCGCCCTGGAGCTGCTGCTGCGCGTGCTGCCGCTGCAGGAGAAGCTCACCGCCCACTGCCCCGCGGCCGCCGTCCCGGCCCTGTGCGCCGTGCTGCTGTGCCACCGCGACCTCGACCGCCCGGCCGAGGCCTTCGCGGCAGGAGAGAGAGCCCTGCAGCGCCTGCAGGCCAGGGAGGGCCATCGCTACTACGCGCCTCTGCTGGACGCCATGGTCCGCCTGGCCTACACGCTGGGCAAGGACTTCGTGTCTCTGCAGGAGAGGCTGGAGGAGAGCCAGCTCCGGAGGCCCACGCCTCGCGGCATCACCCTGAAGGAGCTCACCGTGCGAGAATACCTGCACTGAGCCGGCCTAAGACCCTACAGGGACGCTGGAGATTTGGGGTCATCATGGCTCATGGTGGGCTGTTTGGGGTTCTTCTTCTTCTTTTTTCCTTTTTCCTTTTCTTTTTTGTTATTTGAGACAGTCTTGCTCTGTCACCCAGGCTGAAGTACAGTGGCTCAATTATGTCTCACTGCAGCCTCAAACTCCTGGGCACAAGCAATCCTCCCACCTCAGCCTCCCAAGTAGCTGGGAAACAGGTGCACGCCACCACACCAGGCTAATTTTTAATAATTTTTTTTTTTTTTTTTTTGTAGAGACAGGGTCTCTCTGTTGCCCAGGCTGCTCTCAAACTTCTGACCTTAAATGATCTTCCTGCCTCAGCTTCCCAAAACACTGGGGTTACAAGTGTGAGCCACCACCCCTGGCCTGGGGTTCATTGTTAATGGGAAAAGCCATTGGGGGCTCTAACTCGCTGGGTGACTTTGAACAAGCCTGTCCTCTGGTCCTCAATTTCCCCATCTGTATCAGACAGAGATGCTCCTGGGACCCCTTGGAAGCCTCCGCTTGTGTGCCACGTCCCCTTGATGCCAGGGCCATTTCATCTCCAAAACACAAACCCAACTGCCAAAAACATCCAGACCAGTGTCCACCCCACCAGTGTCTTTGTGGGAAGCTGGAGGAGAAGTTTACCTCGCACATTCTAGACAAAGCTTAGTCCATTTCCTTGAAGACAGTTCTCTCCAGCTGCTCCAAGGCTTTTCTCTCTGTTCCTTCCACCTCAGAATTGCTTTAAAATATTCCCATCCATTATCCTAATACTATCCTAGTATTCTAGCCCTTCCCCCTTACCATGTAGACCTGATGAAGCAAAACAAATCTCACCTACTGCCCTCAAGAACAGCCTCTACACACACACACACACACACACACACACACACACACGGTGGGAGTTGTATGCCATCCTTTTGAAGGGTGGGAGGACCCTGGGCCAGAAAGCAATAATGGCATAAGATTCTGTGATACAAGGCATTTTTGGCAAGGGAAGTTGCCAACAATTTTTCTGGCTGGGATGGCATAGCACATTGTCTAGGGGTGGATCTTCATTCATAAGGCAGCTGTTCCCTGAATGGCTTCCCTGGGTTATGTAGAAACAGCCCTGGGAGGAGTTGATACAACATACTTAATGGGGCTTCTGTGTAGAAGAGACTGAATCCTCAACACTGCCCCTTTTGAGGATCTGTGATCCTGGAACCTCTCTGATGGACTGGGATACCCTTGACTGAGGTCTGCTGTCTGGAAAGGACACCACAGGCCCAGAATGAAGGGGCATCTGGACCAATGACCTAGATTCAACACAGGGCTTGGAGCTGGTGGTACAGGCTGGTTTTGGCCCAATGTGTGTTGGAGGCTGGAAGCCCCTGAAGACCTAAACTGCCTGGATGAGCTCATTAGGGTGCATTAAAGAGTCTGTAATTTGGGAACCTTAATGTGCGGCACCACTTAAGGGGAGGGACTTGGCCCAGCAAGTGATCACTCTAGAATTGGACAAGTATACACTAGACTGCACCAAAATCTGTTCAACAGCGACACCTTGTGGTAACAACTGTAGACGCCCCATCAGGCTTGATGGGAGACTAGAAACGGACTTTCTTGTGTTTGGACGGCTATCCCTCAAATCTCCCAATCTACTCTAGGGAAAAGACACTTCAAGTGAGAGATATTGGACTTCTTGAAAATCTAGGCCTATGGAAAATTAAAGTGTTAAATGGAAAAATTAAAGAGCTACGAGTCTATTTGTAATGACAGAACAGATTATATTGCTTTTGTCAGTTATTTCTTCAAATCTAAAATGCTATCAACTCTAAGATGCACCAAATGTTTACTAAGAAAAAAAATACCCAACATGAACAGTTTAATTCGGTATTCCAGCAAAAAAACCCTGGAAAACCAAAGAGTTAGACCCCTGATATAAGGATTAATACCAAATAAACCTGTTGTACAGGAGGGGACATTAAGAAAATTCACACAAATCAAACTTGGCACTGGGTGGAGTACAGGGAACTTCCTCTAAGAGTCTGAAATGCAAGCTGGCACTCACCCATGTTTTAGGGCTGAATACACGCAGCGTGGTCCAAAATCCCTCAAGTATAGAAATCATGTTAAAGTGGTCTCAGATGGAGGTGTTCCAGGGGCCTCAAGACCTGGAGATCTTCAGGTCTTCCCTGGGACTGAAGGATGTCAGCATCAAGCCAGGCCTATAAGGAGTGTAGGATCCCATTGAGTTCAGAGGTGCTGAAATGTGAAAAAAAAGAGTGCATCTCAAAATCATAGATAGATGATATGTGTGTGGGGTGTGTGTGTGTGTGCTGTGCACAGAGAGAGAAAATACTTCTATGGGAGTAAAGGAGCCTATAGAATCACATGGGGGGCTCCCCATCAGTACCTCTGAAGAGGGGTTGGCTTCCCACACAGTGCACAGGAAATGGATTTATTCAGGCTTCCCAAAAAGGGACTGGCCACACGGGGCAGCTTCAGGACCATCACCTTGCCTCTTCCTGATGACACTCAATGCTGCCCCTTCCTCGTGCTTCTGGCAGCCTTGGCCTGAGGGTCCATGGGAGTTTCTTCTGGCCATGGACATTGCATCTTCATCCACTACAAGTTGTCTGATGGCCTGGGATGGCCCGCCACAGTCAGCTCCTCCTGGAATCTCCCATATGCTGCAGCAATTAGAGCCCACTCATTCCTTGGGTTCCTGGAACAAGTCCTTGAATTCCTCAGGCCCTCTCCTCCAGCAAGCTTTCCGCAGGGCCCACTGCCACCCCACCAGGGCACCCCACCTCCCTTGTTTGCCTGGGCCCTCTCCCACGCCACCTGTATTAGTCCTTGTTTCTAGGAGACTTTAGAGTGGCAGCAGCTGGGACTGAACCTTCTTCTCCTGACCCCCCAAAAGCTGGGTCCACAGGAGAGGTGAGGAGTACCTGACCTCCATACCCAGGAGGGAGCCTTGTTAGGAACACAGAATTTCAGGCCCAACCCTAGACCTGCTGAATCTACACTTTAACAAGAGCTTCCCCTACTGCCACAGGTGGCTCTTACCTGCGTACCTCAAAGGTTGAGAAGCCCAATGGTGAACTGACTTGAAGGCACCTCGATGAAAATCATCCACGGAACTGGGCCGTCTGTGGTCCTGGGTTCATCCCCATCCTTGTCTTCTCTCCACCCGGGCCCTCTACCGTACAGGTGTCCCATCCCAGGGGACTGCAGATGGGCCCACCATGCCAGCCTCACAATCATACCTGCAAACCCACTCTGGGCATTTGGCCTGGAGCTTAAAGGCATTCATTCCAATGAAGCCCTTCTCCAGCAGCCACTCCCCGCCACTGGCTGTGACAGAGTCCTGGGGTCTCCTCTTTGAGCTGGGATTAGGCATCCTCATGAGACCCTGTCCCCTGGGATGCCGACAGGTCCATGCCAAGCCCACAGTTGAAAACAAGCTCTGCATACAGCTCCCTGTATGGTAAAAGTCAGGGCTCCCCAGGCCTACTGTGTGACCAGGCACTGTCGGGCCATTGATAGCACCGTCAGTCCAGCTCTGCTCGGGATATGTTCCTATCCCATGTCTCAGTTGAGGAAAATGGGATCATTTGTAACATTGTAATCTGGGGGGGTTAAGTGACTTGCCCAGGGTTACACAGCTAATAGCTGGAGCATGAAATTAAGCCCAGGTTTTAATTTGACCCAAGCCCTATTTTCCTTGCTGAGCCCCACATTAAAGGATGTGGAGGAGAGGGGAAGGGGTATGTCCCTGGTCCCCTCACTGAAATGGGTCCTTGATATGGTTTGGATGTGTGGTTGTCACCTCCAAATCTCATGCTGAATGTGACTCCCAGTGTTGAAGGTGTGACCTGGTGGGAGATGTTTGGGTCATGGTGGCAGGTCCCTCATGGATGACTTGGTGCCCTCCCCGTGGTAATGAGTGAGTTCTTGCTCTGTTAGTTTATGTGAGAGCTGGTTGTTTAGAAGAGCCTGACATCACCCTTGCTCCCCTTCTTGCCATGTAAGTCATGAGCTCCCCCTTCCCCTTCCACCATAAGTGGAAGCTTCCTGAAGCTTCACCAGAAGCAATGTCGTGCCATGCTTCTTGTACAACCTGCACAATCGTGAGCCAAATAACCCTCTTTTCTTTATAAGCTACTCAGCCTCAGGTATTCCTTTATAGCAATGCAAAATGGACTGACACGCCCTTAAAGGTCATTTTACTCATCTCTGTTTACAGATGGGAAAATCAAGGGCTGGAGAGGTGACCCGCCCAGGGTCACACGGCGAGACAGGGACAGCACCAGGACCAGACCTGAGATGTCCATGTCAAAGTGACATGCTCTGAGAGGCAGCACACACAAAATAACCCTGCATTCAAATTCCAGGAAGCCTTTAGGGGTCACCCAGCTGGGCCTGGGGGTGCAGGGTCAGTGCTGAGTCCTGGGCAGGGCCACTGGCCTCTCTGAGCTTCCTGGCTCCAGGCTGGGAGGCACAATGCAGGGGGGACTGTGGCCCCTCGGCCTGGCATGCCCTTAGCTCTGCTCTCTAGTGGCTGTCCCCGTAGCTCTGTTTTGGAGCAGCAAAACCAGTTCCACCTGCTGGTAGGGGTAGGTTGGCTCCCAACATGTCCCCAGTGGGCCTCTCTTGGGCTCAAAAGCCAAGCTGTGCCCAGTCACACCTCCAAATGCTTCCTGGCCCCCATGCAGCAACTGCATTTAGCTGCCTTCCCAGAAATTCCTCCATGCTTATACAGCCCTTCCCTCTGGGGCCCAACAATGCCACAGCCTGTTCTATCAACCACCAGCCGTTTTCCTTTGAGCAGTCTCCTTTTACTTATGCACATTTACTTGAAAAAGAAACTTCCTATTACTATCCAAAATGGAAACTCAGAATCACTTGCTATAATTAGAAAGTAGCTACAAAAATAAACACAATGAAACCGATCACTGTTATTACACCCTAACCGGCTTTTACCTGAGACAGGCCCTGAGCCTGAGGCTGATGGTAGACTTTTGTTAAGGGAGACAGACAGACACAGACAGAGAAATAAGCATTAAAGACCTGCAATCACCAAGCTGAGATTTCTCTTTGATTTACTCAGAAGGACTGGAAAATGTTGTCCCACGAAAGGAGGTACATTTCTCACCACGTAGCGCTGATCCTCCCGTGTTGCCTGTGCGTTGCTGCAGACCATCTGGGGTCTTGCCCAAGTGTCCTGAAGACTTTGCTCCCTGGCTTCCTGGTCCCCAGGTCGTGTGTTCAGCCCTGTGTGCTCTCCAGCTCCTAAGTCGTGGGCCTGGTTTCAGCTTTGATTGCCCACTCTTAGCTTTCAATCCATAGGCTCCGGCTCCTGACGCCACACCCTGATATCAAGACCCTCAGATGGAGTAAGTGTTCTGAGCTGGTTGAAGTCTGGAGCCGCAGTATGTCCTTGAGTGGGTCCCCCCATCCTGCCACCCATCTAGCTGTTGCCCCCATGGTAAGAGCAAGAAAATGCCCTCCTCTCCAAAAGTCCCTGCACCAAGCCCCCATCCCAGTCAGCTCCCAGGTTCGGCCCCCTCACTAGCTCCAGGCTGGGAGGGACAGTTCAGGGTGGACTGTGGCCCCTCAGCCTAGCATGGCCTTAGCTCTGCTCTGTAGTGGCTGTCCCCATCGCTGGAACTGTTTTGGAGCAGCAAAACCAGTTCCACCTGCTGGTAGGGCTAAGATGACTCCCTACACATCCCCATTATGTTGGTGTTGGGAGCCGTGATCTAACTGCTCGTTTTCTCAATAACCAACCATCCGTGGCATTCCTATGTCCCAGGCCTTATCTAGAGCTGGGGATACAGCAGTGACCAGGACAGAACTGGTCCCCGCCTCATGGAAGTGAAGTGTCAGGAGGCCTTTCCCAGAGCAAATGGAAGCTGACACAGAATGGTGTCCTCAGCCAGGTGGTCAGGGAAGGCTTCTCAGAGGAGGCGCTGTTCAAAGAATTACAGAGCATACAAAGGAGCTGGCCCTGGGAGCACAGGGAGGGGAAAATTTTAGGCAGAGGGATAGCAGGAGCACAGCCCTGAGGCAGGAAACCACCCCCCCACCACTACCCTCGGCATCCTCAGTTCTGGTTTGCACCTAGAAACAGGACAAGTCCAGGACACACCCGGCCTGACGTGTCACCCTGGCTGTGCCAGCTGAGAGAGTGGGCTCCAGGCACTAACAGAGAAGCCTTGCAAGGCAGATCCATGCACCGCCTGCCTCCAGTTACTGCTAATTACAAAGGAAATGAGCTGGGAGCTTGTGTGTGGGCCGTGCAGGCCCTTTTGGTTACAAGCCACAAAAACCCAGGTTAACCTGAGGAGGAAGGAATTTATTATCTGTAAAGTCCAGGAGCAGGCTAACTTTACACCAAGCAGGATCCAAGGACCCACACTTTGTCATCTCATGTCTCTCTCCCTTTCCCACTTTCGCTTTCTCTGTCTCTTCTTAGTTCTGCTTTCTTCTGCTGTGCCTTTGCTCTCCAGAGCTCTCTCCTGGCAGTGACAAGATGGCTGCAGCAGCTCCAGCAACCTCAGAGGACTCCCCCATCCAGGGTCCTTGTGAGCTCCTCATCTGTAGGATGTGCAGTAAACACTCACATGTCCTTTCCTGAGGAAAGGGGTGGGGGCCAAGGGGCAGCCTCTACACCCTCACAGTGCAGCAACCTTAGTTAGCTCACCCATCAGGGCAGACGTGGGCAGAAATCATGTTTTGGCATATTGTTTTATAATCTGCTTTTTAAATTGTCACTATATATTACGAGCATTTCCCTATAATATATAATATTCTTCCACATTCTGTTTAATGGTTTCATTGTATTCTAATGCATATTCTATAGTTATTTTAACCCCCCCACAATGTTACAAGATTTCCTTATTTGGGGCAACACTGTTGCAAACACTGCAAACACTTAGACCCATATGTCCTTTTTGTGTGCACTCTTATGGCAACTTCTAACGGTGGCATTTCTGAATCATAGACACTTTTTTGACTTTTACATATTTTATTTTTTTAGTTGACAAAAAGTGTACGTATTTATGAATCATAAACACTTAATGATTTTGCTATTACTTAATTTTTCTCTCTTCAGAAAGGCTGTATTCACTCCTCCACCAGCTAAGTGTGAGAGAGGCCCTTGAACTTTGCATAACAGTGGCTGTCAACATTTTAAACCTTTTTTTTTTTTTGAGATGGAGTCTTGTGCTGTGGCCAGGCTGGAGTGCAGTGACAGGATCTTGGCTCACTGCAACTTCTGCCCCATCGTTCAAGTGATTCTCCTGCCTCAGCTTCCCAAGTAGCTGGGATTACAGGCGCCCGCCACCACGCCCGGCTAATTTTTGTATTTTTAGTAGAGACGGGGGTTTCACCATGTTGGACAAGCTGGTCTCGCACTCCTGACTTCAGGCGATCTAAACTATTTTTAATGGTTTAATCTTTTTCCCTTTCCACGGAGCACGTCTGGAGAGACCGAGAGGATCTGATCCTGCAATTTAAAAAGTAGGCAGCAGATGGCGCTGTC